GAAGGAAACATGGATCTGTAAATAGATCCACCACATGGTGGCCACAGGGTCTCTGCCAGGCAGCTCCTCATCCTCATCCTCATCCAGAGGGGCTCTGGGCTCAGCTGGGTCTGTGGAGTCTCCTCCAGGCTGTTTGCCACCCTCCCCTGGCAGACAAACTCTTTCCAAAGGGAAATGGGCAGTTCATGGTGGTTCTGGCCCAGTGAATGGGGTCCCTCATCCCTGTGTCTCCACTGCCTCAAACTGCACGTGACACCTCCTGGGAGGGGACAGGGTGGCAAACCCAGAGCTGCCCGTGCTGAACACACCCTGGGGAGCACAGTGTGGCCAGGGAAAACTTGGACTAAACCCAGTAAAATCAGAGTTATCACCCCTCTCCTTCAGTCCAGCTCTGCCTAAGGCAAGAGCCCCCTGTGCTCTGCAAAGCCTGTCCAGTCACTTTGTCTGTCCATGGGATGATGGAATCAACCTGCTCCTGCCTGGTTTGAAAAGAAAATCCAGCAGGATCCAGCAGGGTGATCTTGCTGCCATGGAGATGCAGCAGAACTCTGAGTGTTCAGGATATTTCTGCTTTAGCCAAACTTTGATGCAAACAAAACCCCACTTTCCACAAGTGATCGGAAACTTTGGTGGGAAAGCTCCAAAGCCCAGCTCTAGGAATATGTAGAGTTGTTTCACACTCACCAGTACTTCATTTGCTTTATACCCCAGATATTCAGATGTAAAACTTACAAGTGAAATTTGGGGAAGTGTCCTTCTGTGTGGTGAGGAGAAGCAGCCAAGGCTTTTGAGTTCCATGAGCTCAGGTGAGCTGGAGGGTCACAAATTCTTAACCACTGAAAATTAAATTCTAAAACCCATCAAACTAAAATAAAACTCCTTGCAGAGGTGCTGGAGAGCTCATTACAAGCCAGGATCAGAGCAGTGGAATTTGCCATTTCCCCTACAACTGCATTAACAATAGGTCAGAAAAGGAGGAAATCACTTCCAGCTCCTATTTTGTAATATTTTCATTTGTCACTCTGAATTTTCCCTGGGCTTTCAACCTTGGGCTTGGCTTGTGAGCTGCTCAGGGCTGCTCAGGCTTGTCACCTGCACCAGTGCCAAGGCAGAGAGCTCAAACCTGCCTCAAAACTTCCCTACAGCATCCCAGAACATGGGGAGAAGGACAACATGACAGTCCCTGTCATGGTCCCAAGAACAGGGTGGAAAGATTGAAGTTCTTAGGTCTAATCCCCACTGGGGAAGTTGCACTTGTTTATTTACTGTTTGCCCTGAAGTTTCTCAAAAATCATAGAATCCTGGAATATCCTGAGCTGGAAGGGACCCACAAGGATCATCCAGTCCAACTCCTGGCCCTGCCCAGGACACCCCAACAATCCCACCCTGTCCCTCAGAGCCTTGTCCAGAACATAGAGAGAAACTGGGTTTGTTGAGCTGGGGTTTTGCTGAAGGCAGGTAGGTAAGAACAAAAACAAATGTGTCAGAAACACTTTCCATCCTGTTTAGTAAAAAAATCCCTGTGCTTCTCAATCCATCCCTTGCAGAGGGCTCAGAGGGTGGGATGCAGGGATGAGAAGATGCCTGTGGAGCAAAACTGTGCTAAGGAAGCAGCAATCCCAGAGCTGGAACAAGGCCAAGTCCCCACTGACCTGGAAGGACTTGGCAGGCTGGATGTCACCTTCCCAGCAGTTTTGGTTCAGGCCACATCAGCAGCACAGGCATTTTTGGGCTACATCTAATGCAACAAGCTCTTGTGGGGGTCCTGCTCTGTGTAGCTTCTCCTGGGTGTTGGAAACCCACAGGTTGTTCCTTTCTTTGTTTTCCTTGGCACAGTGCTGGGCTGGGCCTGAAACTCTGAGCATATTTGTTCTGAAACCAAGAAAAGAGCCATTCCCTGCTCTGGGATTCCCAGGACACCACCACAGAAAACACACTGCCCTGGAGTCTCCCTGAGCCATGAAAACCACTTCACCACTTATGCCCCATATGTGCAGGAACTGAACAGATCCAAGGGGAGCACTCCAGGAGGGGGGTTCACCCTCCAGGAGGGTGATTTGTACCCAGGAGCCTCACAGAGATTAAAGATAGAGCAGAACCTCAGAGGGGCGTGTGCGGGGAAGTGACAAATCCCTGCAGGGCTCATTCCTCTGGCAGGCTGCTCCTAAAAAATGGGGACAACCCACAGCAGCTAAAAGGAGAGAGATTGATGGTCTAAGATCAGAAGGGACTGTCAAAGGAGCTTGATAAATACAACCCATCATAGATCAGTGGCATATGAATGAAGGGCGTAAAAGCACATTGACTAAACCTCAGCCATCCCAAATGAAGCTGGAGAACTTCATGCAACTCCTGCACTCTGTTTTCTACCTGCTGTGTTTCCTTCCCAGTGTGTCCAGTGGAGGAGGGAAAGCAGCTTTCTCATCAGACATTTCAATTATCCCCATAAGCCCCTTTTCAAGAATCACCTGTTTTCCTGCTCTGCCTAAGGAGTGAGATGGGCAAGTTCTTTTGCTCTCTGTGTTTCTGTTTTCCCACAAAGGAGCCTCACTGGGAAAGGTCTCAGTACTTGCCCAGCCATTGTTAATAATCTCAGCTGACCCCAGTAATTAACAATATCCCATATGGGAATGTTCTCCATCTGTCACCTCTGCACAATCTCAGAAGGTCCCAGTGAGAAGAGGGTCTGTGTGTGTCTGCTGGGGACAGGTGATAAACTGTTAGTTCATCATCCCTGGACAAAGACATCCTGACAAAGTGGGGGGGTAGCCAGGCAGGAATAGTGGAATGGTTTAGGTTGGAAGGGAAATCATCTCATCCCACCCCCTGCCATGGGCAGGGACACCTTCCACCAGCCCAGGTTGCTCCAAGCCCCGTCCAACCTGGCCTTGGACACTTCCAGGGATGGGGCAGCCACAGCTTCTCTGGGCAACCTGTGCCAGGGCCTCCCCACCCTCACAGCCAAGAATTCCTGCCTAACATCCAATCTAAATCTCTTTGCCTTTTTTTAAAACTCTTCCTCCTTGTCCTGTCTGCCCATGGATGTGTGTTCAGGCAGTTTTCTTCTGAGGGAAGGCTGCAGCATCCAGCCTGTCTAAATGTTCTCCTCAGAAAGGACAAAGGTGACTCTTTGTCCCAGGGATGCACAATCCAAAGTACTCCAGACTCTGTTGTCCCTGGATCTTTCAGCCTTACCTGGCCATGCACTTCCTGCACAGCAGAGCTTGGTTTTGCAGAAAGAGCAAAGAAAGGGGGGCCAAAGAAAGCCTCCCCTGCTCCCAGATGTGGGGCACAAGAGCAGGAACCAAGTAGGAGCAGCAGGCACCAAGTAGGAGCAGCAGGCACCAACTCAACATGTCCCAAAGGAACCCTGGCAGGGGGCTGTGCTCAGTTCTGCAGAGGAAAAGAATTCCAGGGATACTTCCCAGCTCCTCCATGAGCACATGCCCAAAGGGACCAGGGGAGCCCTGAGCAGTGGTGATGCTGCAGAGAAAGGCAAAAACACCTGGGGGCCAAGGCAAATCTGTCCCAGGGGAAAACTCCTTCCTGACCCCAAAGCTGTTCCCTGAGCACGTGAGCAGGACCTGCCTCCTTGTGCCACAGGCTGGTCACACCTCCCAGGAGATGCCCAAGACCTGTTCCCCCTCACACTGGAGCCATCTCAGGGCCTTCCAAGTGGCAAAATCCCCCCAGTCTGATCAACCTTGAGAGCAGGAATCCCCTCCATGCCTGCCAGGACACCAGTGGGTGCTCCAGAGCACTGGGACCCCTTTTCCACTTGTACATCCCACTCCTTACTGTGCCCCTGGCTCTGGGGGGAGGAGGGTGGTGAGTTCTCCAGAGCTCCTCATTGGCATTCCCTTGTCTCACCACTGCAACCCAGCTGGGAAGGCCTGAGAGCCTTGGGCACCTCCAGGGGCAGGAATTGTCTTCCTTACTCTGTCAGTTCTCATCTCCTGAGGGCTGACAGCCGTTCCCTGAAGGATGAGACAGGATTCCAGCCCACAGAGGAGCTTTAAAGACAGCCCTGCCAGGAGCTGGCCTTCCAGCAGAGCACCTCATCCAGCCTCCAGCCTTTTACCCTCAGCCTCCTCCAAATAATTCCACCAGCTCCTCACAGAATTCCTCTCCACTGTCCTTGGGCTGCCTAGGCTGGCTCTGAGGGTGAAGTGGGCAGGCTGGCAGTGCAACAGGGAGCAGATTCCCCTGCTCCTGCTGCACAGGACCTCTGGTTGCTCCTCCAGGAATGATCTCCTGAAGGACCAAAGTGAAACCCCCCTTTTGTCCCGGAGCTCAGTGATGCCACTTGTGTGTGCAGCACAACAGGAGCTCCTGCAACTCCAGGTGCATTTCCAGACCTTTCCATGCACGCCTGCTGCAGGCTGGGGAGCTCAGCTCTGCTCTGTGCATCCGACAGGTGGACTTGCTCAAAGCTATTGATTGAATTGGAGATCAATGTGCTGAAAATGGAACTCTCAGCTTCTGCAAAGTGTGACATACAGTGGCATTTAAGGCAGAGCTGGGGAGAATTGCTTCTCTTGCATTGCACAGAATACTAACAGGGATTGATTCCCCCCTAGGAAGGCCTGGGTTTGTTATTCAGTGGCTGAGGGGATTTTTGGTGGTTGTCACCAGTTTTGAATGCTTTGCCTAATCTCATGTTTGAAGCAGGTGAGAGGTGCCCTGTGTAAAATCAAGCCAAGGTTGCACAGACAAGGAGAATTCAGCTCCAAGACAGAAGCTGGAGTCCAAATCAACTGCTTTTATCTCTCCCTCTGCCACCTCAGTGCTCTCTCTGAAGCGAGAGCTGCTCCAGTGGGATGTCCAAAGCTGGGCAGCCCTGGTTTGTGAGTGCATCCCAGAGGAATACACGCTCTAGACAAGCTGCTCATAAAGCCTCATGCCTGGCCCTGCGTGTCCTGGGGACTCTGGTGGCCTCTCCAGGTTCCTTGTGTGAGGAACTTTCATCCTCACCTCTCAGAGAATTTTCCTTCCAGGATGCTGCAGGCAGGGTCTGACGAGCAAAGCCCACAGAAAACCTGTCTGAGGAGGCTCCTTTGGCTGTGCATCAAGGAAGAGGATAAATCACTGCCAAGGAGGGGTGGTGCCATCTCTGTAAAGCAAATCACACAGGCACAAAATGAGCAAACCATCAGCAAGGCTGGGCTCAGAGCACTGAGACTGAGCAGGAACTTCTCAACTTTCCCATCTCTGCTCAGTCCTTGTCCAGGTCAGTCAAGGGTTTGAGTCCACAGAGCTCCTCCTGAAGGATACTGCAGTAAGCATCTGAGTCAAAACCCAAAAAATCTAACCCAGTGCCCACTGGGGTTGGTGGGAAAGCTCTGCAGAGTGTTTGCTGACTGCAGATCATTTTTTTGGGTGCTCAGCCATTCATAGAATCATAGAATCTTAAGGGTTGGAAGGGACCCTAAAGGTCATCTAGTCCTAACCCCCCCTGCCACTGGCAGGGACACCTTCCAGCAGACCACATTGCTCAAGGCCTTTTCCAACCTGGCTCTGAACACTGCCAGGGTTGGGGCATCCACCATCTCCTTGGGCAACCTGTGCCAGTGTCTCACCACCCTCACAGCAAAGAATTTCTTCCTAACATCTCACCTAAATTTCCTCTTCCAATTTGTCCCCAGTACTCCTTGTCCTATCACTGCAGTCACTGAGGATGTTGTGGTGCTCTCAGCTTTCCCCACATTACAAATCCTGGTCTGCCTGACATCCCTGGTGCCCAGCTAAGAACTGACTGTGCCCAAGATGCCAGGCTCCTGTTTTCTTGAGGGGATGGTGCAGTTTGGTCATAGCTGAGGCACACAGTGGAAATCCATACTGCCTCTGCTCTTATCCTCTTTACCAGAAGGTGTAACTCCAGCCTCACAAGCAGAGGAAGAAAATGACTGTGTCTTGAGATAATTTTTTTGCCTAATCTAATAATGATTTGCTCAGCCTTTTGTTCAGAGAACACTCATTTAACAGGTAGCAAGGGCAGGTGGAGCACTCCATGTCACGATCCAGAAGGGACTCGTGTCAGGAAAGTTTGTCTTTCCCACACCACATCTGTGGCATTGTCTCTGTCTCTTCATCCTCTGATGCTGTGGGAGCTCTTGGGCCCATCACTGGCTGCATTCAACAGACACCTAAGAGCAGGTTTAGTCCCAGCTTTATCTCATCAATCTGGAGAGTGCTCCAATCTCACTTTAGATGGATGTCTTCATCTGGGATTGTGCACACATCTCTCTCCTGGATTGCAAGACAAGAGGAAAACATGGCTCAGTTTCTGCAGCCCCCGAAGTTGGAGTCTCACTTCATTCAGACCCACAAAAGCCTGGAGTCTCTCCATCAGTTACACTAATTCCATCAGTTACACTAATTCCAGCTCACCCAAAATCCAATGGAAATGCAGCCCCAGGAGGGCTGGGAGCACACCTCTGCTGTCAGAAGTGGGTCCAAATAAGCCACTTCACTGATCACACCCCCTGCATGATGAGAGGCAATATTTTCCAATAATCTTGCTCAGTGTTTCTCACAGACACTGGAGCTGCTGTGCTGAGTGTTTCCAGAGCTCAGCTGTGCAAAGGAAGGGAGACAGCAGTGTCAGTGCTAAAAAACTCCTCCTCAGAGTCTCTGCTTCAGCTGCCCAGGGATTGTAAGGCCAGAGCAGAGCACGACAATTATTGAGCCTGATCTTCTGATAACCCAAAGTTCACCCCAGGATTTCCACACCAAAGCCACTGACTGGCAGCAGAACTGAGTGTTTCAAAAGGACACTGGACCTCAGTTCAAAAGTCTCCATATCCATCTCTCAGTAACCTGGCTCAGGGATTTAAGTACTGGCACTGCCCAAAAGTGAACTTGATTTCTATCTGAATATTTTACTCACGGCCACATTCCTGTTATTTACAGATTTTTACAGGGCAACTCCTGTTCAGTTGCATCATTTCCTGCAATAACAAATGAACCTACTGTTTTAGCAGTTATGGATCACACCTGCTTGTCAAAAAAGGGAAATTAGAAGGCATTTTAGCTGACAAAAGATGAGTTAGAGAGTGCAGGTCGCCCGTGCCAAGTGCAAGGACATTGATACTTGGAGCAGTGGGAAGTGTGGGAACGGAGCTTCTGTGGTGGTTGTGAAGATCATGATTGATACACGTGGGATCCAATGAAGGGAAAATGATGGATATGTTTATTGTTTGAAGTTCAGCTTCAATCATTTTGACTCAGCCTTAAATGCATGAGGGTTTCTCTCCACTTAAGGGGGACCCAGCTCAGCTAATTGTGTCTGGAGGCTCTGCCTGAGCTTTGGGAAGGTCCAGCTCCAAGCATGGAGTGATGCCCAGGCAGGAATTAGCCAGGCTCTGCAGCATCACACTCTGTTTCTGGAATGAATAACGCTCAGGAATATGCAGCAGCACTTTCCTTCTAAATGGGATATTGTTACGAGAAAAATAAAACTGAAATGGGAAAATAAAGTCGCTTTTTCTACATTTGTAAAGCTTTTCAACCAAACAATCCACCACAATCACTTATCAAATGTTTTGTCAGACAAAATCAGATTTTCACAGCAGAAAAAAAACCCCAGGCTTGGGTTAAAAAACTTTAAAAAAAAAACCTTGCAAGTGTTAAATACACTTTAAATTTCTCTGTTGTGTTCTCTGGGCCACTAATCAACACAGAGTTAAAGCTGACCTTCCCAGATTTTTAAGACAGTCCTTTGGGAATCCATGATTAATGTATAATCTTCCTCAGGAAGCAGTTCCTGCTTCCACACCACCATCCTCACAAAGGTTAGTCAGCTAATGAGACTTCACCAAAGCTGTGAATGAAGGGAGAAGGGAGATGGTTTCAGCTCTAAATGGCTGCAAACAAAACAAGGCATTTGCAGCAATTCCTCAATTTATTTACTTCTTCAGAAAAAAAAATGTTCAGTCTCCTTTAAGGATGACATATCCGTGACAGGATTTCTTTTTAAATGCCATTTTGTTTAATAAATCATGTAAATTCCAGCGTGTAAACTAGAGCATTACAGACAGGCTTGTAAATAATTAACTGCTCGTTTGCATGAAGGGGGAGAAAATACCCAATTCAGCAAATCAGGCAGGCAGTGGAGTGTTTGCCCTCCTGAGAGATAAAAGGTTGGCTCCTAAAATTCTTGTGAGTGTGCTGATGTGATGAGAGAGATGGTTTTTGCTCAGGATATTGGTTGGAGATGGGGAATTTAGTGTGGTTTGAGCTGGCTAGGAAGTACTTCTATACCTTGAAGCTTTGTGAAGGGGTTGTAAAAAAGCTTACAGGGTTTGGGGGGCTTGGTTTGTTTTTTTTTTTTTTTTGTTTATTTTTTCCTCAGCTTTCTGATATGGGAGTGATGGGGTGGGGGATATGAGCAGCAAGGGGATGGTTCTAGTAGGCTGATGGTTCTGTACTAAGAACAAAGCTGAAAGCATGTAGGAATTATTGATCAACATCTGAACCCACAAAGTCATGCTAAAACATCAGAACTCACTGTGTCTTCCTGGGGCATCCTTTACTGGGTTTAGTAAAGGAAATAGTTCCAATTCTCACAATGGTGGTGCCTTCAGCAATGAAATCATCCAGGGCTCCGGGGAATCTGTGCAGAAAAACCTCCTCAACAGATTTGTCAGTCCCTCAGGAAGCACCGAGGTCTGTACGAGGCTTAATTTCAGGAATGATGGGTTTTGGTGAAGTGTTAAGTAGGTAAATACTAAAGCTACTAAAGTTTTCTGGATCTTCTCTCCCCTTTGAGCTTCCGGTCTTTGAACCTGTTATTAGAGTAGCCTCTTATTTGGACAATAAAAACAACTAAATAGGGAGTTGGGCAGGTTGGAGGACAAAAATCTGCCTTGCCTTTGCAGGGCTGTCTGCATAAATGCCCGTGGGCACATTAAAGTGAGATGTGCCAGCCAAAGGTGCCACCTCTGGTGTTAAATTGCTGCGATGTGATTTAGTTGATGGAATCACAAGGGGCCACCAGGCCACTTACTGTAATATCTCAGGGAAAATAACAAAATTAGCAAGAAGCAAAAAAAACACATTAGTCAAAAAAACACATTAGTCAGAAAAACTTGCTGCTGCCTAAAGAAGTCCTTGGCTGCTCCAGCCCTTTGTGAGCAGACACCGTTCCTGCCCCTGGGGCAGCACTTGATGGCTCTGTAATGCTCCTGCACATTATTTGCACTGATTGGAAGCTGGATGTGGGAATGAGCAGTGGTATCACGCCAGGCTGCCTGTAAAATGGGTTGTTCTTAGGAAAATCAGCGTGTGCAGTGTATCTTTGGTGGAGCAGAGTTGTATCTCTCAGCATGACAAAGCTCTGCCTCTCCGCAGTGCCAGGTTACTGCCGGGGAAAGGCGGCGTCTAAACATTATTTAGTCTGTGCCTAATTCCAGCTCGGTCTGCTGGGTCAGTGTTACTGCTGCTGCTGCCTCGGGAGGACAGAAATAGGCCACGAGGTGATCTGGGGATAGAGCAAATGGCTGTGATCAGAGCTCCCACCCACTGACTGTGTGTGACCCATCCCCTGCCCTGCACACCTTGAACTGGGGGCTGCAGCACCCAAAGTGCTCCTCTGCCTCCAGGGTGTGCCTTTAGACAGGGAAGGTGTCACAGCACAGGAGAGCAGCCTTGGGATCCCTGTGCCATGCCCGGGGCACATCGAGGTTGATTCCTGGAGAACTCCCTTTCTCTGGGAGCTCTGCCCTGCTGGAGCCTGACGCTGGTGACAGTGTGCCCTGGCAGCCAGGAGGGACATCCCTGCCCTGGGGGCATCAGAGCCAGCATCATGGGTGAGGGAGGGGATTGTCCTGCCCTGCTCTGCCCTGGGGCAGCCTCACCTGCAACATTGGGGCACTTTGGGGCACCACAGTATAAGGAAGATGTTCAGCCATCGGAGAGTGTCCAAAGGAGGAAACGAAGGTGGGGAAGAGCCTTGATTTGAAGCCGTGTGAGGACACTGAGGGCACTTGGTGTGTTCAGCTGGAGAAGAGGAGACTGAGGGAAGACCTCAGTGCAGTTCCAACTGCCTGGGCAGGGGCAGAGGAGGGGCAGGGACTGAGCTCTGCTCTGGGGGGGACCAAGGACAGCACCCAGGGAATGGCTGGAGCTGTGTCAGGGCAGGGTCAGGTTGGATCTCAGGGAAAGGTTCTTCCCCCACAGGGTGGTTGGCACTGACCAGGCTCCCCAGGGCAGTGGGCACAGCCCCAAGGCTGCCAGAGCTCCAGGAGGGTTTGGATGATCCTCTGGGACACAGGGTGTGACTCTTGGGGATGGGCCTGTGCAGGGCTGAGGGTTGGACTGGATGATCCTTGTGGGTCCCTTCCAACTCAGCACATTCTGTGATTCTGTGTCAAATACTTGTATCTGCTTCTCCAGAGCATTTTGTGCTTTCTCTGTTCCCTCCTTCCACCTGCTCTTCCAAGGGGACCACAGTCCTGCAAGCGAGATCAGTCTGTTGCTATGGAAATGGTTGTCACAAATGAAGACTTCACAGCAAGGCAGTGGTATTAAACCCAGACATTTACATTTGCCTCTGGCTCCAGGGGGATTTGGGTCTCCTCACTGAGCACACAGAAAGATGAGGCTGCTTTTCTGTTCTACCCAGGGTGGTGCTGGCCAGGGAGACACAGGGTGGTGGTGGGATCCAGGGAAGCCTTCCC